ATTCTTTTAACAAAATGAGAGATTAGATAGGATACTACACCAAAATTTGATAAGGCGAGACTCTCTAGAAAGATTAGCGATAAGCGGAAGTAGGATGGCAGATATAAGCATGATATCATTTACAAAGCAAATTCTTAAACAATGAGGACGATTGATGATTAGTCAACGGAATATTTGTGAGGCAGATGGAATTGCCACAACAAAATTGTTATTTTGGGACGGCATGGAATTCCCATATTTGATTTTCAGGGGATCTGGCAACCATTTTTGATAGGCACAACATTCACACATCTCTCTCATCTTGAGACTTTTTGACTTTCGATGTGTTCGAGAGCGTAGCTATATTCAAATTCGGTAGAGACTCCAGTGGCCCACTTCGTTTCTTTTGTTCTGCGAAATATCCCAACAATATCTCTACAGACATTGCAGGATCATTCGGGAGACTGATCCTCCTTAAAAATGTCGTAGAGTGTGTAATGACCATCAGAGAATTAGCTTACTTGTGGCCAGTTTCAATGGGGTTCGTACTAGAAGGATTAGGTGAGATCGCTTGTTTATTTTCATCGCCAGCCGGCTGAAAATATTTGTTCAGTGATTTAGTTAAAATGGCCCTGTATTACAAATGACAACCAGCTACAGATCGTAACAAAGTGAACATAAAAGTGCGTATTTTTTACATACATAACCTCGAGAAATTCTTCATGTCAACAACGCTTGAAGCTGGGAAAAGCTTGCAAACCTTGATAATACTATTAGAATGAAAACCTATTACTGCATGCAATTCACCGTTTCAACGACGTCTACATCAGTTCCTGAACCTGTAGGCGAATGTGGTAACATTTGCTCTGGGCTGATCTCAGGATATATGTTCAGGTGAGCAGCTGAAATGTAGAGAGGTTTACGAACGCAGAATTCTTTCAAAATATTGCCATTATATGGACTATAATTAAGAATTGTATAAAAAGGCTACGTTCTGATTTTGTCAAGCAAAATTCACCGCACCTCCTTCGAGTAGGCTCATCTTACAATCATTCCCATTTTCAGCAGGCGGCTCATTATTAGCAGCTCTTGCTTCAGTGTCTATGTAGAGCAATCCTCTCTGCAGGAAAAACTATGCCTCTTCAATCGAAATCAAAATAAAATAAATCTGCGCTAGGCTACGTGAGGAAACCGTCGAAGAGTGATCTAAGTGAAAACTTACCTGCACTATATTAACAAGTGATCCAGAGGGCACTCCCACAGAAGGCAGAGAGGAATCAAACATTAGCGATTCACTTCCAAAAACATAAGCACTGTGTTGGAATCCTGCAAAAAATTGTATGCGATTGTATGCATATACCAGTGTCCGATGCAGAATGTCTAGTGATGGTAGGGAGGGAGGAGGGGGAAGAACGATTTCTCACATTTCTTAGATTTACCACTCTCTGAATTTGAAAAACAATCTTTAACTTAATTATGTATTTCCTAGCGTTGAATTTTGCATTTAAATTACATCTGCATTCTGCGCAACAATTCACTGTCGGAATGCCCATGTTCGTCCCGATTTAGAACGATTTTTGGGTGTAAAACTTGATGAAAATCGAAAAGTATACTGTCCGCCAAAAATTTGAAAG